TTAAATATATGAGATAATATAAAAAATTTTAATATTAAATAAAAAATATAACTATAAAATAAATTAACATTCAAATTATTAGAAACATAATAAAATGCACAAATTATAAGTAAATTCTTATACTCATTTACTATTGTAAAGATTGAAAAATTCTTTTTGGTTAAATCACCAAAGGCACTAAGGATAATAAGAGATAATTTTAAATTTTAAATATGGTACAAATAATTTTTAAATGTTAAAATTCATTTTTTTTCTTTAATGCACAAATAATTTAATCTCATCTTCCAAATCTTGTTAAAAGCAAATAAAATTTAACATGATTGTCATTAGGAATGATTAGAAGCATCCATAATTAAGATTTAAAACTCCTCAACTAAACATCCAAGAATAATAGAATATCAAAATTAGTTCTATTATATAATTTTAAGACTTTTATGATGATATTTCTTACAATTTAGTTAGGAAAATCAAAATATTATTTTAAAAACAAATTAAAAATTCTAAAAGTAGAGTCGTAAAGCAGTTTTAAAAAATAGAGATACAGGTGAATTGAAAATTTAGAATTATGATTAAAGTGCACGATTTAAAAAGAAAAATAAATTAAAGAATATGAGAATATTTTATTTTTATTTTTTAATTGAGTTAATGGAGTTATCATCTTATAAAATAAGAAAAAAACTTAAAATATTACAAAAATATACTATATTATTTAATTAAGTTATCTTATAATCAAATTTTATTTTGTAATCGGACAGTTCGAACAATTTGACAGTAAAATCATAAACTAAACCAATTATATTGGTTTTAAAATTTTATAATTCAAATCAATCCAATTTTATATCGATTTGGTTTATTTTTTTTATCAGATTGGATCAGTTTGGTCAGATTAATCAGATTGGATTGGATATGAACACTCCTAATTTTAATTTAGAATTTTAGGACTATTTTGGAATTACGTTTGAAACCTCTCCGAAAATTTCATTAGCATTTTCATGAAATAACCTTGATTTCCAATAACCCCCTTTTTTCTGAAGAAAAAAAATTAAAAAAAAAAAGAGATCTTTTAATTTGTGTCTTTATGGCACATATTAAGTTTTATTTATTATAGTATTTATAATTAATTTTATCTAAAATTTTACACAAAATTTAAATAAAATATAATATAAAATATAAACATATAATATAATATAATATTTTACCTTAAACTATATATTCAATTATAAATTTTAGATAAAATTTTATGTAAAATTAATTAAAAATACTTTAATTAATAATTTTTAACTTATGCCCTACAAACGCAGGAGCAAAAGCAATAGGATAAGATGATCATGCCAATGGGTTGGCGTTGAATTATTGGCAAGGGCAATAATGCAGTGAGGCCAACTGCGGGCCCAATTGTTGCTGATACAGAAAAATGATATAAAACTACACGAAAGTTAAAATTTTCTCTCGCTAGGACTATTTTGCCCCTGTCATGACCATAATCATCTTCGTCCCCTGCTTCCAATTTGGTGAAGTTTCGAAGACACCTTTCTGCATTGACTTCAGGTCCATTCCATCGTCAATGGTAATTGGCAATAAAAAATAATGATTACTTTTACGTACCATAACCTCTCTCAACCAGAATCGGCTTATGTGCACAGGGAGATCCAGGCAAACTGTTTCTTACCAAAAAAAAAGTTATAAGAAAAATGAAATTTTAAAACGCTAAAATAAAGTTATCACTCAATTTTAGAGTTTGTGAAACTGACTTCAAGAATGAAAAGGATGGTGAAAAATGGGTATGCTCGGCTAAAAGGAAAAGAAATAAGTTTGAGAACAGAAGGATATTTATTAAATAAAAATATATTA